ACCTTCTTTGGGATGCTCACCTTAGGCCTGAGGGCAGAAGACACAGGGGCAGCCACTGTCAAATAGGAGAGCTGGAGGTCTCAAGTCCAGGTATCTGGGTGCCAAGGCTGCCCCTCTCCCCCATCCCTCCTGACTGAGCCTCCGAGTATACCTCACTAACTCCAAATCTAGGACACTGGTTCTGAATCCAGGAAGAGCCTGAGCAGTGGTGGGATGGGGGTGGGGTAGGGGGCAGGGGGTGCAATGGAGGGCAGGCAAGATCATTAGAGGTCTATAGTGGGGGTTGGAAGTCAGGTAGGGTGGGATGGGTAGAGGTCAGACAGGCCCACAGGAGGTCTGTCAGACCAGGTAGGGTCAGGATCCCTGAAACCAGAGGCCCCTCACTCTTTGTGGTGTGCATTTGATTTCACGCCCCAATTACCATCCCCAACCATAACAAACTCTGCTCCCCTCCCATCCCTGTGACTACCCCCTTCCTGTGCCCTTCTTAACTATGCACTCCTGTCTGTCCAGCTTTCCCTCTTTGTGAATGCTGCCCCATGGCTGATTGCTCTAAGGGGTGTTACCTCCCAAGAGTAGGTGGTTGCATGAGATACCATCTTGCTCCAGCACTAGTATCAAAGTTCAACAAGACAGAAAATAACAAATGCTGGCGAGGTTGTGGAGAGATTGGGACTCTCATACACTGCTGGTGGGACTGTAAAATGGTACAACCATTGTGGAAAGCAGTATGGCGATTCCTTCAAAAGTTGGAAATACAAATACCATTTGACCCAGCCATCCCATTACTAGGTATATACCCTAAAGAAGTGAGAGCCATAACAAGAACAGATATATGCACGCCGATGTTCATCGCAGCACTATTTACAATAGCCAAAACTTGGAAACAACCTAGATGTCCAACAACTGAGGAATGGATAACCAAACTTTGGTACATTCAGACAATGGAATACTATGCAACGCTAAAGAATAATGTAGAATCTGCAAAACACCGCATAACGTGGATGAACTTGGAGGACATTATGCTGAGCGAAATAAGTCAGTCACAAAAGGACAAATATTGTATTAGTCCATTATTGTGAAAGTTAAGGAAAGGTTTATATATTGGAGGACATTTTCTTTGTTGGTTACCAGGGGTGGGAGGGAAGGGGAGGGAATGCTGTTAGATAGATAGAGATAAATATTGATTTGGGTGAAGAGAAGGGCAATGTACCAAATGTGAGTGACCAATATGGCAGCATTGAGGATGAGAAAGACAGAGAGAGTTACATGGGCAGTACAAACAACAAATATGAACCCCTTTGTAAATACAATACTGAGTTGTCAATGAAAGCAAACATGGGTATAGGGACGGATAGATGGGTGAACAAGCTAAACAATTATGTATGTCTAAATGGAGAGTGTATCCAAGATCATATACAGGGTTGGCAGACAATGGGCCTCTCAGGGTGCAGAAGAGTATGAAGGGATGGACACTGGGAGGAGGTAACTATGGGGAGGAAGTGGGAGGGGAGCTGCTGCATTGTAAATTTTGGTCAATGACATGAGACAAAGTATATGTGAACTGCTGTATGAAAAGTGAATTTACTCTGTAAATCTTCACCCAAATCCTAAAAAAAAAAAAGTTAATATTTGGTAAAATTAAAGTTGCATTGTTCTGTCTGAAAAAAAAAAAAAAAAAGAGTAGGTGGTTGCATCACCCTGGGGTAGGTGTTCTGTATATAGGTCTTTCTGCTGCTGGGCTGAGAGCCAATCCTTGGGAGCAAGTCCAATGCTAAGCCTGAAAGGTAACCCGGGGCCACAGTCTTAGGGGTACCACCAGACTCCATCTGACCAGTAATTCTGGTCATTTTTGTGTTTTTGAATTCTGTTCCACATTTTCCCTCCCACTCTATCCAGGATCTCCAGTTTTGATCCCTTTCTGAGTGGTTGGCATTGGTAGCCAGGCACCATCTAGTTCTTTTGGTCTTGGGGTCCATCACAACCTTGGACTGTTTCCAGATGCCCTTGATTTTCTTCACGCTTCTTTGCTTCAGATGAGGAGAGACCAACAGTTGTTATCTTAGATGGCTGCTTGGAAGCTTTTAAGACCCTAGTTGCTACTCAGTAAAGTAGGTTGAGTAACCAGATTTTTATGTACTATATTGTGCTAACAGCCTAGCCATGAAAGCATCAGTGCCCATCTCCAAAAAGACCATTTCCCCAGACCCCTCAGTCTGGCCACCCACATGGGGAAAAAGGGGTGCTCTAGCCTCACCCTGCCACCCTAGCTGGAGTCAGGGAGCTCCTTCAACCTCTGATGTCACAGAAGGCATGGGGGAGGGCAGAGGTGACCAGAGACTGGCAGGCAGTTGGGCAGTGTGGCCTCTAAAGGTTGGCAATTGGCTGCAGAGGTGCACAGGCTAGTTATTCCCAAGCCTGGTTGAGCTTTGGCCAGAAGCTAGGCACAGGCACAGGGTGGGAGAGGAGGGGGCTCCTCTTTCCACAGAGGGGGTTTGGGCAAGGGCAAGAGACCTTGGGTGGATGCCAGGTGGCAGTTCTGTGCCCACTGCTGGAGTCATGGGCTGCTGATGGAGATAGTGATGGTCTGAAGGTAGGCCTGGACAGAGCAAGGCTGGAGCATAGAGGTAGGATAAGGAGGAACAGAACAGGTGCAATCCACAAAGAGCACTGAGCACAGGGTCCAGAGAGGGGATGTCACCACTGCTGGAAAATGGCCACTCCAGCTCAGAGAACATTATGCCTTCCAGAGGAACAGAGTGTCCTCACACACGCCTACCCTCAAGGATGGCCAGAATGGAGGCCTAAGGCAGAGAGGCTCAAGCTTTCACCACCTCCATGAGAGCCAGTCCCAGGCCCCAGAGTGGGCGGGCTGCCCGGCGAGTAGCCAGGGTTAGAGGTGGTGACTGTAACCCCACACCTTCCTAGGCCATGTCCCCAAGCCAGGCAGCACCTCCAGGAGGGCTGAGATAGGATGGGATGCCAAGTCTCCCCGTGGCCTCCCTCCCAGGGAGGGTTCAGAAAAAAGACGTGAGGACCATCTGCTGGGCATGGCATGGGTGACCGACTCCTCTGAGGATGTCAGTGTGTGTGCCCAGGGCAGCCTGACCCCAGGGCCACCTGTACTCTAGGTCAGAAGGGTCCTGGCAGGGAGGAGTGTTCCCTGCTGGTTTCCAGGATCCAGGGGTCAAGGGCATAGGCCCCTCTGGGTGGTGCCTGTGTGACAGCAGGAAAGCAAGTGCTTATTGGCAGGAGCTGGCTTGGAAAGGCAGGGACATCAGGGAGTAATTCACAGGTCCTCAGTTTTCCCACCTAGAATTGAATTCATGCTGCAATCCTGGCAACTCTGCAGGAAAGGACTCATTGGACAAGGGGCTGAAACATTTTTATTAAATGTTATTAGAGGCCTTTCAGGATCAGACATAGAGAATGCCAAAGGGGAGTTCTGTTTTAAGTTGAACACATCCCCAAAATCTCACGCTCAGTCAAGGTGCATCAGAAAGGAGTTGTTCTTCAGAACGAGGACAGATACAATCAATTCAAAAAGGTTACAGATCTCTTACCACATGGCTGCAGAACCCAGCCTTGGGGACCCTGGCAGAAGGGACAGAAGACTCTCACCATACTGGGCCCTGCAGAGAAAGGGCGTCCCTCGGCCACGATAACCCAATCACTTCATGGAGTGAATGACCTGCCTGTGACCCCTGGTCTGCAACGTGGCCAGAGTCCCAGCCTAGGGCAGCAGCTGTGCCACCACCTGGGGAGGGCTTCCACAGGGCTCCAAATGAACAGCAACCACGCCAAGAAATGGCAAACCAGAGCCATCAACAAACACTGACGTCTGGCAGGTTTGGAGGGAACACAGACAAGGAAGATTGTCACTCCCAGTGGACAAACGGAGAGGTTCATAGGGACTTGCATCACTGGTGATGGCTTGCCAAGGTGGCCCAGCCCTTGTCTCACAAAGCTGACTGAATGGATTCTACTACAGATTACAAAAACTATCCTTTGTTAGTCAAAGACTATGGAACAATAAACAAATAGCGTCACTGAAACAAGTTTTTACTATTTCAGCCAGATCTTAAGGCAGGGAGGTCAGTAAAACCACCCACTGTGTTGCTGGCTGGGTCTCCCCTGACCCAGAACACTCAGACTCCAGGGAGGGGTGTGTGTGTGCATATGTTGTACACACACACACACACACACCCCCAGACCCGCTGACAGCCAGAAACTGGAAATCTCTGAAACACAAAATGTGCAAGAGCCATGTGTCTGGCATGTGTACTCTATGGTTTTGGGCTTCATATTCAAGCCCTGTGGGATGAGTTACAATCAGGACCGTCCTTGTCACCCTCTCCCAGCCCAGTGACAGTAGTGGTGACGGAGCTGCATGCCTACAGGATCCGCCACACCACCCCCGAGCATTCACACCGCAGGAGGAAAACGACCTCACCAAGCCTAAGCCAAGATTTTTTTTTTTTTTTTAATGAAAACATTAACGGTTCACTGCAAAAGTGGAGATCATCATGTCATTCGAGGTTCTGGAGCTCACAATTGGCAGTGAGAGTGAGACAGGTGTGTACTGTAGCAAATCAGTTCTGAACATAAGTAAGACGCGTCACATAGCTTCACAGTGCACAACGCGAGTCACACCGGCCACAATCTATGCTCCCGGTTAGGAGGGCTCTGTGCCATGTGTCCACACGACTTCAGAGCATTCTCAACAGCCAGCTCCTCCAGTAAAACAATTTCATGAAAAGCATCAGAACAACGGCTTCGGCATTTTGGCATCGTGAAGGCAGTTTAGGCATACGACAACACAGGATCACAACAGACCATCCGAAAGACTGAGCAGAGAGTATACAGCTTAAAAAAATACGGAGGTGAAAATGTCATGAATAATTTAACGTCATTACATAGAAACCTCTTTAAAATAGGCAAAATTAACTGCAAAATCTCTGACAAACAGCTGCTGGCATCCAAAGTGGGGGCCTGGCTGGTCAGCGGATCACAGTTATATGGGATGCGGAGAAGTCCAGGTCTGTCTTAGAAGGGTATACCACCTTCAAGGTCCCTTCCATGTCCAACACCCGGACCTGTTCTACGACCAGCAGGGAAGTCCCACTGTTTTCAGCACTTCGGTTAGTTCTGGGGTCCGGAAATTGTCCAGGAACTGTATCAACTTCAGTATCTGAGAGCGATTCTTCCTCTTTATTTTCTAAAGTGTATTTGTTGATTTCTGCCATTTTCTGCAAATGAAAAATGCCTTTTGAATCTAGAGATGACAGGTAACCTGGGGAGGAGATACTACTCTGGGCCCAATGAAGCAACAGCAAGCGGCTGCCGCACAGGAACTACAGTGGGGACACTGAGCAGCAACTGTCCTTGTGGCTCAGAAGTCTGCTTCTGATGACAGGAGACTGCTGTCTGGGCTTACTCACCAGAATGAGGGCATCCATGATGTCCTTGCATATCTGCAGACTAGCAGCACTTGTTACTTCCAAAAACAAGTCAGAAGTCGTTTTTTTAATCTTAAACAAAAAATCAGAAAGGTTTCAGGAAACAACAAAGTTATCAAAAAGCAGACATGAGCAACTGCAACATTTAATCTGAAGAAAAATCTGTACAAAATTTGTGTAGTCTGTATTACACAATATGGGACTGTTTTCCTAAAGAAAAACACACTGGAATCCTGTACATGTGACACTTCTTGGTGCCTCACCCACTGGACATGGCGACATGCAGCCCTGAAGACCTGTGTGCCCTAGTCCTGAGCACACCCCAGTCCTGAGTGCACCCCTTTCCTGTCTGTGCATTCTATCATGCACACCTTGTGTGACTGCATGTGGGGACCCCCCCATACCTTCGTCTTCTCACTGTTGGTGATAGGCGGGAAGGAAATCACATCGCCGTCTGCGTCCACGAGACAGGGGTAGTTGTCTTTTCCATCCAATAAGTGAAGGTATCTGTGCAGAGAGAATACAAGTCAGAGTCATAGCACACATACCGAGAGACCACACACTACACTTTACCACAGCACACTACTGCACAAGTGGAACGTCTGTGGACAAACTAGCTGTGAGCTCATGGCACACGTCTATTGTGCTTCAGAGAACAGTGTTCCAAAACCGACATTCACATGCAAACAGCAGCAGGGCTAGTTACACACGATCAAAAGGGTGAGCGGGAGCAGGCCCCAGGATCTCTGCCGGGCAGCATGTTCTAGTAACATGTGGGTCTGCATAAAATGCAACACGCTAGCAACTGGGACAAACTGAAATCTCATGCTATGGCCAGGTTTCAGTTTTCCTGATGCTACTGGGTGATGGCATCTCATAGGTAGTGGTGATGAGGTGAGGAAGCATCACCTTACTTGGTTTAACTCCAACCACCAGCCTCCTCCTCTGCACTACTACTAATACCTCCTGGTTTTCACTGAGGAATCACCCTACCTCCCCATGCGTCAGGGCCCAGAGGAGCCCATCGAGACAAGAGATGGTTACCATCACTTCCCTCTGACCCATGCAAGACTCTGTAACAACACTGAAGTTCAGGGAGCGTTCTGGTTTTCTTTTATATAACCACAGGGACAAGTTTTCAATTTCTAGTCACTTTAGGAGTTTGGTCAGTAGCAAGTGAGTTAAACTGAAGATGGCAGGCTGTGCTCACTCCTCTTGAGAGTGGTGTGCGTGGTGCTGCTGGCACACCTCCGAGGACACCGAGGGCCACACACACTCTCCTCTTATACCATGGCCACCAGTCTCTCTCTTCACAGGGCCCGCTGTGGGCAGAGGCTGACTGACCTGTGCAGGCCTGACACATTCTGCCTCCTCTTCTGCTTCCTCTGCTCTTCAGCCTCCAGCTGGAGCTGCCGCACCAGATCCTTGGCCTTGATCTCTCGCCGGCCCAATGGGACAATCTATCAGGGCAGAAAACTGCAGTCAACCTTTATGAAGACAGACCTGCAGTAGGATGACAGCCGCAAACCCGCCTGTCCTATGGACTCTGGTTTTAAACACGGATGACCACTCTCTGCTGTCCTGCGTCATCTCTGGGGCAGCAAGGGAGACCCAGGAGAGCTGGCGATTCCAAGCGGGAATCAAGCTGACCAAGGGTGGACCTGACCTCATCACCACATGGTCACCCGACAAGCTGGCACACTGGGTGCCACCAGGGGTCACTTTTGGGGACATGGATGCCCAAATACTCAAGTATCTTTGAAACCAAGCTTAACCTTTATCAGCTCACACACACCTGAGTTTCTGCAGACCTGCAGGAGGCCAAGGCAGGCGTGAGCTCTGCATCAAGGTTTGCATAGCGGATACCTAGGGACCGCCACCATCCTGGGAACCCTGGCACCCTGCCCAGGTCCAGCAGACACAAGCAGGACTATAAAGGAACCACTCACACAAAAACTAACTCCAGGCCAGACGTTATGCAACTGGGCCCAAATCTGGCTAAACATGGGTGAATGTATGAAGGAAATGACTTTCAAATTACTACCTCCTTTGGATGAGCAGTATTCAAATAGTTAAGCAATTGCTTTCCAAAGTAAGTGCACACCTGACCCGTGTTTATTTATGTGAACATATTTTATGTGGTGGCAAGTTTTACTTTAACAGTCTAACTCAATCATTATTGGAAGCTCTGTACATCCACACAGACGGTTTCTGGAAAACCTTGAAAGGTAGAGCCTCAGCTCCCAGCCAAGGAAGCGGCAGTGTGGGGCACCTTGAGGTCCTGGGGCAGCCGGGCCCCGTACAGCAGTGGCCCCCGGATGGCCTTGAGGTCGTGGGTGGCAATGGTTGCTGCTGTCCTCTTCTCACAAAGGTCCTCGTGGAGCTTTGTCTAAAACACAAGGCCAGAGCATCCGTGAATCTCAGCATGCCCAGGAGTGGAGAGGTGTCTGCACAGGTCCTGGGCCTGACCTGCGCACGTGGGGCGCCTTCATTGCTTGTTCTTCATCACCCAGAGCCTCATCACTCACCTCTACCAACGGCTCCTCCTGGGGCTCTCTCCTTTGCCTCGCTAACCAAGTACTTATTCCGTGGACTCATTCAGGAAAACTATTTTATCTGTTCATCAGCACAATTTCTCCTTTCTCTAATTCTAGAACACAATATGTGAAATTTCGAAGAACTGATCAAGAACTAAAATTTATAACTAAATAAGCAAAAGTATGACTTAAAAAAGGTGGGGACCAGGTCTGCTGGTCTGATAGAGCCTGGTGGAACCACTGAGACTATGGCCTCTAGCTGCCCTTCAGGTCTGGAATTGAACCCACATCTGTGGTTTCCAGCCAAACAAAATACAGGCATGTGCGTTAAACATTTACCTCTCCTTGGAGAGAAAAATCATGAGAGAAAGATGGGCTGCTTATGCACAGGGAGACAGCTCAGGGGCCAGGAGTGTATAGAGGGATGGACACTGGGAAGAGGTAACTATTGGGAGGAAGTGGGAGGGGAGCTGTTGCATTGTGGTAAACTGTGGTCAATGACATGAGACAAAGTATATGTGAACTGCTGTATGGAAAGTGAATTTGCTCTGTAAATCTTCACCCAAATCACAATTAAAAAAAAAAAAAAAAAATGATTTTAATTAAAAAAAAAAAAAAAAAAGCCATTGAATCACCCCTAACTCACGGCTAGCCCGTATGTATCCCTGTGCTCCACAGGTTTTCAATGGCTCGTTTTTTGGAAGTAGACCTCTAGGCCTTGCTGTCAAGGCACTTCTGGGAGGACTCGAACCCTCAACATCTCAGTCAGCAGCTGAGCATGTTACCCACCTGCACTACTCAGCAACTGATGGTTTTAATACTGTCACATATACATATATAAATAAGAGTGCCATTTGAGGCAGAAACCAGAAAATCTACCAGGATCAGAAAATCCAAGAAATTCAACCAACTTCCAATTTCAATAAAACTATCTTCACAAGTATGCAGCCACTCTCCTGACCTAGGCAGGATTGTATATGGAACAGATCACGGGTCTGGATGTCTGTTAAAATGGGGCACCCCTTCCTGGAGCCATGGAGGCTACATGAAACCCCTGAAACTACTGCCCTGAGATAATCTTTACACTTAAACCAAAATATCCCCTGAAGTCTTGTTCAAGCCAAAGGACCAGTTCAGCTTAACCGGGGAAAATACCTGCCTCGGGCATGGTGCTCTTTGAAGAACTATCTGTGGGATCAAAGTGACAACAGCAACTGGAAAGATTAGACAGGACCCTTAGGGGGCAGTGAGTTCACTGTTAATGAGGGTGGAACAACTCAGAAAAGGGGGGTGAGAGGGGTTGCCCAACTCAAGGAATGTCATCAATATCACTGAACTGTTTGTTTATGCAGGAACTGTTGAACTGGTGTATGTTTTGCTGTGTGTATCCTCAACAGTAACAAAATAGACAATTTTTTTTTCCCCACAAAGGAGGGAGCATTCTTGATTTTTTAACAATATACCTCTTCTGACAGCTCTTACTCCCCACCTGAGGATGATGGCACATGAACTCACGCACAAAACATGGCATGGGGCACATCCCCTCACACCATCCCCTCCAGCACCCGCTGAGCCGTACCCTGCCTCGCTTCCATTCCCAGTGAGGAAACCAAGGCACACAAAGCCAAACCCTGTGCTCCACTTCCTCCTCATTAACACACCCTCCTCATTCCCGCCCACCACGCCCCCCAAGCGTTCCCCTATCTAGCTACAGACACTAGCCTGCATGGACCCTACCTGGGCGGTGAGGAAGCGCTTGAGTGCATTTCCAGCCTGCAGGTCCATGCCTCTCACGACGGCACCCACAATGAAGGGTCGCACATCCCTGACCTCGGGCTGCACGCTCACCATCAGGGGCGCGGGGTTCTCAGAGACGTGCAGGACCCTGACCAGCAGCCTTTGCGCAGCTTCCAGCTCCCTCTCCTCCCCATCGCCGCCCTCCCTCTTCTGTTTCCTCTCCCTCTTTTTCTTCCTGCTCTCCTCCTTGTCGGCACCCTCGGCCTTGGCTCGGCCCTTCCCACAACCCCGGCCACCGACGCGCAGGTACTCCAGGATAGACTTGGTCTGGCAGCCGTTCACCATCTTCTCCAGGCGCTTGTCCCTCAGCTTGTTCCCCTCAAAGTGGATCTCCTTGAGCTTGGGGCAGTCGGCCAGCGCAGCTGGGATCTCACTCAGCTGGTTGTTGGAGAGGTCCAGCGTCTGGGAGGACAGAGCAGGGACAAGTCAGACTATTAGGCTTTGGGACATGGTCAGGGATGTGTGGACCTTCATCGTGGGTGCCAGTGGTCTCATCTCAAGAGACATGTCAAAGAACATTGACACTCAGCAAGAGGCCCCCATTTTCGTCTAAGATGCCTCCCAGGAGCTGCAACTACAACAAAAGGAGATCAGGCTTCCTGCTACATTATGCACCTGCACACACAGCCAGTTCTACATTGCATCTCATCACCAACACTCTCCTCACTGATGACATCACAAGCCCAAAGAAATCTGCTAATGGGAAGGGGTGAACTATGCTGTTCTTGTTAGTCTATTCAATGACCCCATGTGACAATGGAGAACTGCCTCATAAAAACTTCTAGGCTGTAATCTTTATGAAAAGGAGCCCTGGTGGTTCAATGGTTAAACACTTGGCTGCTGATTGTAAGGTTGGCATTTTGAACCCATCAGCTACTCAGTGGGAGGAAAGACCTGGCAATTTGCTCCAGTAAAGATTACAGCCTAAGAAGTCCAAGGGGGCACTTCTCCTCTGCCTTATGGTGTGGCTATCGGTCAGAACTGACTTGATGGCACAGAACAACCACCATTTTTATGAGAGCAGACCTCCTGGTCTTTTCTCCTGTAGAAGTGCTGGGTGGGTTCAAACCACCAATCTTTTAGCTAGGGGCCAAGGGCTCAACTTTACCACCAGGGTTCCTTTAGCAATGAGCAGTTAAGAACACTTGCTATTGAAATATTTTTCATATTCAAACATCTTACTCTTTGTGATAGTTGGAGCTGTGAGTCAACTTGGCTGGACCCCAGTTCTGTGTGGTTGCTCCCATGATGGGATTGGATGACTGTGTTCTCTCTCTCTCTATAAGCTTTGCTGGTTTTTGTTTCTCTAGAGAACCCAGTCTAACATACTCTCCTTGCTCAGTTACAAGTTCCCTGATGGTAACAATTACAGCAAAATTTCTGACCAATCATTAGGTTAAGGGGAAAAGGATAAATGAGGGACGGGTGCAAAGCTTGGTTATGAAACGTGAACTTGCTTCAGAAATAGTAAGTACTTCTTTAGGTTGAGAATGGGCGCTCTGGTGGCATAGTGCCTAAGGCATTTGACTGCTAACCAGAAGGCTGGTGGTGCAAACCCACCAGCCACTCCCCAGAGGGAAGGTTGGGCAATCTACTTCCATAGTGATACCACCTCAGAAACCCAAGATGGGGTCTCTATGAGTCGGATCCAACTCGTTGGCAGTGGGTTTAGGTTGAGAAACAGGTTCCCTACTAAACGGTACAAAGTTATTATTATTTTTAATTTAAATAAGCTAAAAAGAAGCATACAGCAAAGTCAGCAAATAACATCCCTATTCTTGCTGAAATTCAAAGTCACCAGCAATATGCAGCATTCCCATTTTTCATGTGAGAATGAAAAGGGCAAACTGTCTTTCAACACAAGAGGGGTTCTCAGCCCTTCCTATGACCCAGAAGGGTCAGGACCCTGCTGTGTCATAAAGATGCTCAGGACGTGGTCCGCCTACATTAAAGAATCTTCACCTATCCGTGATCAGACTCTGACACGACACCAGGTGCCACTGTTGTTGTTGTTGTTATGTGCCATCGAATCAGACGCGATTCATAGCAACCACTCCTTGGGTTTCTGAGGCAGTATCACTATGGAAGTAGATTGCCCAACATTCCTTCTGAGGAGTGGCTGGTGGGTTTGAACTGCCAGCCTTCTGGTTAGCAGTCAGGCACCTTAGGCACTATGCCACCAGAGCTCCTTAGGTGCCACTGGCATCCCTGAATTGATGACAAGATCAAAGCAGCCACCTCACATACTCAGAGGGCAGCTTCCTAGAACCTGGGCAGGAGGTGGAGGGGTAGGGTGGGCAGGGACTAATCTGATTGGTCAGACTCCAGGACACTGAGGAGTCACCTGCACTAGCAGGTGGGGGTTGTAAAGTTACTGTGACACTGGTGGGTACACTATCTTGTCTTCTTCTTTCAAGTGGTTCCAAAGAGAAGATCAATGATTAATTGCCAATACCAACTATTAAAACTCTTTTCTTACTCAAACATCTCTCTTCTTGCTCGATTACAATTTCCCTGCTGGTAACTGCAGCATTCCTACAGCTCAGTCCTTATGTAGGAGGGAAAAGTTAACAAGGGACGAGGGCCTTTTCCAGCCACCTCCCCTCGGCTCTCTTTCCAGTGACTGGGTCAGCAGCAACAGCCTTGGACAGGGGCCACCAGGCACTGACAGTCCCTGGCTTCTTTCTCGTTTCCTCCAGGGCCAGTGGGGAAGCTCTGGACTGGCCATGTTCCACACTGCTAGGAGCTGACCCTTGGGGGGCTGGAGGAAACCGTGTTACCTGGTTTGGGGAGTGAGCCTGTGCCCAGAGAGCTGGCAGGTGAAGGCAAGGTCAGAGGAGGGCCAGGGCTCTGGTGGTTGTCAGGTGATGATGTCGGCTCAGCCCTCACCTATCTGGCTGCATCCTGACTCACAGACGCCAGCACCATGGGCCCCTCACTGGTGGCCCGTGTGGGCTCTGCACACCAAAGCACACATTCCCATACGGTCAGCTTGCCAAGACAAGAGCCCTAACCACAACCGGATGGGAGAGCCCGGTCCTCAGGCTGAACCCCAGTGGGCAGCAGCTTCTATTCATGGGCAGGAAAGACGAGCAGGGGCCCTTATGACTCCAAGTCTCTGCTAGTGTGAAGGATGATTTTAACGGAATTCCACAAACCTCAAGTTATGAAGGATACAAAAAAGGAAATGCCTGGAATTCTCTGGCTTGAGCAATGGGGTCTGCCCAGAAGCAGAGAAAGTGCCATGGTGTGAGAAAGAGGGTGTCCCAGTCTGGTGAGCGGACAGAACAGCAGTGGGTGCACTGTCAGAGGGGGTAGAACCTCAAGGAGTGGGAGCCTCTCCAGAACAGGCTCTGATCAAACAGGGTCTAATCAAAGGGAGCAGGGGACATGCACTCCTCTAGGACACGGGGAAGCAGCCACTCTAAGACACAGAACCAGATTTCACCTACAAAGACTGTAGCACCCAAAGCAAAGGGAACATGGAGTCCTCCAGGCACATGTAGTAGTCTTCAGTTTAACAGTGCAGTCTTCAGTTACAGCAAACCCCACAGAAGCACCTCCTAAGGAGTACTGAATAGAAACCTGAGTTAATACAAAAAATTATTTGTGCCTCTCCAGGACTTTTTCCACTTTGAATGTGGGACTGGGTAAGGCAGCCTAAGGGGACTGGGGGTGCCAATGAATGACCTCCTGGTATCCCACCACCTCAGTGTGGCCTGCAGTTCCTCCCACCAAGCAGCAGGGTGCTTCCTCAGCCCCTGAGTCTGGGCTGGCCTGGTGGTGCTTTTTACTAACTCACAGCCCACGTACAGGAAGCCTGCTCGGCACCCAGGCTTCTAGAGTGCTCTGGTTTTGCTCTTAGAACCTGCCTGTGTCATGAGAAGAAGCCTGGGCTGGTCCAGTGGGCCACATGGTCAGGAGCAAGCCTACCCCAGCCCACCAGCAGGCTGGGAGGGACAGGAAAGGGCTGGTCAGAGGCCATGAGCTGCCTCCATTGTGGTGTGCTCTGCTTAAAAGGCTCTTGTCAAACAGTGTGGGAACTCCACTCCGCTAAAATCTCACTGCTGCAGGAAAACATGGCAGAATGGGATGCTTTTCTTCTACCAAAGAAAAGCAAGTTACTGAAGACCTGGGGACGGCAGCAGAAGAAGAAAAGCAAGGGTTTGGTTGCGGCAGGGGGAGAGGAGCTCTACTGGCACAGTGGCTAAAGTATTCAGCTACTAACCAAAAGGTCACTGGTTCAAATCCATCAGTAGCTCCATGGGTGAAAGATAAAGCAGTTTGATTCCATAAAAATTTATAGACTTAGAAATCCCATGGAGCTGTTCTACCCTGTCCGACAGGGATGCTTTGAGTTGGAACTGACTTGATGGCAGTGGGTTTTTTTTCTTTTATGTGGTGGGTCTGTGCCTCCCAGGGCTCCTGAGTGCTCAGGTGTTCCAAGCATCAACCAGAACCAGACAGCACAGAGCCTGCCATCTGCTAAGGATTCTCCACAAAGGGCAAACAAACGTGTATGGGGACTGGGGATGGGGGTGGGTGGGGGGTGGTGTCTTCTTTCAGCAGCTAGTCACCGAATGAAGGGCATTTCAGAGCAGCAAGCAGTGGCTGCACCCATGGTGGCACCCAGGCCACTCATGACCTGCCTTGGGGTGCTGCGGGAGCACAGAGAAGTGCAAGAGTGGGACATGGGATGTTGAGGGGGCCTTGTCAGAAACACAGAGAACCTGCCAACAAACTTGGAAACCACCCTACACCAATACTGCCCTCAGCCCAGCACTGTGCACCTGTACCAGCAGATCCAATGGGGGAAACGAAAAGTCAATTTCACACAACTATCAATGCTAAAGGGAAGAAGGGAGCCTCAGGGAATCCCCTGAGGTGGGAGGTACAGACATGCAAGACAACAGCAGTGTCCAGCCCTAACCTTCTGACAGAGGTGTGAGCTATGCACTCAGACCCCTAAAGGATATGAGCAGCATCTCTTAGTGGGAGGATTCCTCCCTAAGTGTGGAGTCACTCCCAGCATCTGGTCTGGAGCTGACAGTTTCCTTCTCACTGCTTACCATATTTTTTTGCATATAACGTGCCCATGCATACGATGTGCACACCAAACAAAGGAAACTAACATGCGAGAGGGTTGGTTGCCTGGTTTGCAAAAATAAATTGTATAAAGCATTTCTGTGTTACAATACAGTACTCTCTTCCCACCAGTAACACACACTCTACTGTGACTGATGGCTTACACAGTGACGAAGGGGCTGTATCTAACTCAAGGTCAAAACACAGATTGCATTCCTGAAATATTACTTTTGCACAGAAGTGCTGCTTTTTTGCTATTGGGGAAAGGATCCTAATTCTGTGGCTATGACAAACTTGAGACAAACCAATTCCTCTTTGGAGAAGCTGTCTCAGTTCTAGTGAAGATGGCTCAGGCACCAGCTGCAGAGTGAACCAGCCTTGCCCACATACCCAAGAGAGCCCCACAGTCTCTGACAGCAACTGAGCAAAAGTGGAAAAAAATTTTAACTTCAATTTCTCTTGTCATGGGACAAGAGACTTCAAAATCAAAGTTTAATTTTTCTATGAATCTTAACTATGGAAAAAGAGTTCTACTGGTCGCGTCTTAACAATACCATATATGCTGGGGCCATGCCGACACCCAGCAGTCATCTTGCAACCCTATTCTGCGGGCCACAATGGACAACACAAGTGGCCACGACCCTCAATGGGAACAATAGGAATCTTGGATGGTATGGTCTTTCCACTAATCATTGTATTGTCCTGGCCCATTGCAGAAATTATAGGAATCCGTGTCCCATCCACCTGTGGGGCAAAGAACTTGGTTTGGCCCTTTGGCTCTTGTTTCTGAAAAGAACCAAAGCTATCAAGATGCTTTTTTTCCAAACTAACCTGGCAAGAAGAGGCTACAAAGGACCCACACCTGTCAAACTAACTTCAGGAAGGGAGGGCACCTGCTGTAGTCATGCATAGTCATTCAAGTCCTAATGACTAGGGGACTCCAAACCTTGGAGCAGTCTCCTGGGGCCTCCTGGATCAGTGAGATAATCCAGGCCAGGGGAGGGAGCAGCACATCCCTGGTGCTAGTGGTGGCCCCATGCTGAAACCCTCCCAGACCGCGCCTGATGCATCTCTATGCTCCTGTCATTTCTGATTATAATAAATGGGTAACTGTAAGTATAAGTGGGAGCTCTGGTGGTGCAGTGCCTAAGGCATCTGATTGCTAACCAGAGGCTGGCGGTTCAAACCCACCAGCCACTCCTCGGAAGGAAGGTTGGGCAATCTACTTCCATAGTGATATGCCTCAGAAACCCAAGGAGGGGTCGCTGTGAGTTGGATTCGACTTGATGGCAGTGAGTTTGGTTTTTGGTGGTAAGTATAAGTAACAGACTGTGAATTTTGTGAACTGTTCTAGAGAATTAACAAACCCACAAAGGCAATGAGCCCTGAGGGGTTGGCAATGCAGTCTATTTGTGTAGACTCAGCTCCGGGTGGTAGAGAAAGGCTACATGGGCAGTTGAGGAATAAAGATAAGAGTCCTTCTAGCTTGTAACCCACCAGCCACTCCTCAGGAGAAAGACTAGGCAATCCACTTCCACAGAGAAACCCAAGGCAGGGTCGCCATGAGTCAGGACCAACTCTAGGGCAGTGAGTTTGGTTGGTTTGTTTAGCTTGTGATCTAGTCCCAGGGGATGAGAGAGAATGAGAGAGAGTCCAGCTGGTCTGATTCCTGAACTGGTACAGACTCCTGAGCCTATGGCTGCTCCTTGATGACCTACCCTCAGGTGGCCAGGGATGTTCTGGATAGCTGGGGATGAGGTCTGACCTAACTCTGGGTGGTCAAGGTCAGAGAGAAGAATTGCCATGGAAGTAGCTGATGATAAGTGGAAATGTGGGATGGTGAGGCCTGGATCCACGTCTAGTTAGGAACTGGATTCACGTTGATTATTGCTATGAAGTTAGAGATAAAGGTTGAGCTGCCCACCTTGCCTCTTCTACAATGCAACCGGTAACATCATCTTCACACCATCCCCTCCTCAGCCTCAGAGGGACAATGACACAGGACTGGGAAAAAGCAACATAAAAATGCAAGCAAAAGTGATGTGAGGGTGCCATCTCACCCTTGGCTTACCACCACTCTGGCAGTTCAGCCCACTGGACAACAGAACCAAAGTGAAAGGATGCATGCAAATGAGAAGGGCTATCCAGGTTCTTATTTCTCCACTAAAGAGGAAAGCCACGCTCAGGGAGCCAGAGGCCGGGGCAATGAAGCCATTTTACTGGTAGGTAATTACCTGGAGAGTAAAAAGTACAGCAATGGGATAAGCACCTCTTCGGCATCCTGTTCCAAACAGCTGGAGTGGGAAAGAGTCAGGACATTCACAACAGTCTGAGGAGTCAGCACCATGTGCTGGGGACAAGGGAGGTGAGTGGAACAGAGGCCTTTGCTACTATTACTTTATTGGTCCCCTAAAGAACTACCTCATGAGTAGCAACGGGGATCTTAAAACCTTGCAAGCTGCCATCTAGATGCAATGATGGGCCTCTCCTCATCCAGAGAAAAGAAGAATGAAGAAAACAAAAAATTCACAGAAACAATTAGTCCTAGCAACTGGTACACAATGCAATCCTTAGCATATTGTGAGTCAATCTGAAGCCAGAGTTCTAGCAGCCTCCAGGAAAATCTTTAACCAGAAACTTTTAGTGTCAGTAGTGCTAACAGAACTTTTGTAATTCTAAACACTCCTTAGGGCCTTTATCTGCCCTCCAGTCTCAGCAGGTATCAAGGAACTTCCTCCGAACTCAGCACGCATCACAAAAGCCATCCGGATTCAGCATGTATCAGAGATTTGCGCGACTCCTAAAAGTCTCCCCCATATCTGAGCCGCATCCTCCCTAGATAATATTTTCCTAAGTGAACTTTGGAGCCGGGAGGAGTTTCTTTACGTCCCCCAACATCTTAGATCACTGCCCTGAATCCCTTAGCAACAACCAATCACCTGTACCCTCTCGCCCCGGTGCTGCCCCTCCCCATACTGTTCCATAAATTGGAGAAAGAAACGGGGTACGGGGTCTTTTGCTTAAGCCACTGACCTGGTAAGGGCAGAGACCCTGACTTAAGTTAGCTAATAAACTGTCCTATTGCATTTGCATTGGCGTGGGTTGGCGTCTTCTTCTCTTCCGAAATTCTCCTTTACAGCCTGGGCACCACAGTATAAGACTATGAGACCAGAACTAGATGGTGCCCGGCTACCACTGTCAACCACTCGGAGGGGGATCTATGTAAGAGATCCTGGATAGAGAGGGAGAACAATGTGGAACAAAACTCAAAAATCATTTGGAGGAAAAAAAAAGGGGGGGGGCGGTTTGCTGGTCCGATACAGCCTGGTGGAACCACTGAGACTATGGCCCCTAGCTGCCCTTCAGGTCTGGAATTGAATCCACACCTGTGGCTTCCAGCCAAACAAAACACAGGCATATGAGTTGAACATTTACTTGAGGTAGACACTCTCCTTGGAGAGAACAATCATGGGAGAAAGAAGGGCTGTTTTTGCACAGGGAGACAGCTCAGGGGGCAGGAGTGCATGGAGGGATGGACACAGGGAAGAGGTAACTATTGGGAGGAAGTGGGAGGGGAGCATTGTGGTAAATTGTGGTCAATGTCATTGAAACAGAGTGCTATCCCCTGCCCCCACCTGGATGGGAATAGATAGGTGGACTGGATTTCTCCCAACTATTTCCCCCACCCTGGTTAAGACAGATAATTAGATAAGACCCTGCAGGGGAATAAGTAAACTGGATTACCCCCAACTGCTTTCCCACCAAGGGCAGATGAGTATTCAGTTCCTTAAAGAACTGAATGGAAAACATTCCTTCCTGCAGATGATAGACTTGCTAAAAGTATTTTAGAAACAACTTGTAAATTAACTCTGGCCCCAGAACATAAGGGAACAAAAGTTAATTGCTGACCCTCTCCCCTCTACCCCAGCCCCTAATCAACTGATAACAAGAAACCAGTGACTCTTCACTCATTTCACATTCACGCCCCAAATTCCTCAACCTTTTGTGAATATGCACAACCCCCTCTTCTGAAAAACAAAAACTGTTTTGATGGCATCTTGGGGAGGTAAGATCTGGGTACTATCTACCCCTAACTCCTTGCACTGCTGCTATGCAATAAATAATTTTCTCTCCTCTCAATCTCGGTGTGTAAACTATTTTCGCCTGACTGCGCACCGGGCGTCCGGTAACATCATGAGACAAAGTGAATGTGAACTGCTGTATGGAAAGTGAATTTGCTCTGTAAACTTTCACCCAAATCACACACACCCACACACAAAAGAATATATCACAAATGGGAGGGGGAAAAAAAAAGGAACCACCTCCTGGTATTCCCATTCTTGAAGCTGGACTGGACCTGAGATTACTTAACGTGCCTCCCAGGCGCAACGCGGAAATCAGACCACCCGGCTGGAAAAACCAAGTGGAGATACAGAAAATTCAACAAGGGTCAGTGTTCTAGACCTGCTAACAATTACAGAATATGTTATGTATTAAAGTACATTTGTGAACAAATGTAGGGGGAGCTTAGGCAACAACCCCAGCATCGTGGTCTGGTTGGGGGGGGGGGCCGCAGGGTCCTGAAATGCTTCTAGAGGCGATGACAAAGGAGCTGGCTGTTCCAGCCCAGCAGGAATTTCTAGGCTCAATGCCCTCAGGGGAGGCACGGGGGACAACTGCACCAAAAAGTTCTCTCCGTGACGACTGCAAGTCCCCATCCCGCCCCGCCCGCACAGCCCCACTGACCTTGAGCGAGGCCAGGTGGGCGATGTCAGGGCTGAGCTCTCGGAGGCAGTTGTCTGCAGCTGCCAGTTCGCTAAGCAGGGGCAGCGCTCCGGGTTGGAAAAGCGCGGCGGGGAAACAGTCCAAACAGTTGCCGGTGAGGTTGAGGGTCTGCAGGCGAGGCGCGCAGCGCGCCAGATCGGCGGGCAGCTCGCGCAGTCGGTTGCCGCTGAGATTGAGACTCTGCAGCTGCGGGAGGCCGGGCGGCTCGGCAGGGCCCAGTCCCTGGCCTGGAGGCAGCGCCTCCAATGCATTGCCCGACAGGTCCAGCACCCGCAGAGCGGGCAGCGGCCCGAGCTCGGGGCTCAGGCCCGGCCCCAGCGCGTTACGCCGCAGCACCAAGCTGTGCAGCTGCGGGAGACCCTGTGCCAGACCCGGCCCCGGCTCGCGCAGGCTCCCGCAGCCGCTCACCTCCAAGTAATGCAAGAGCGGCAACGTGAAGAGCCGCGGGGGAAGCCGCCCTCCCGCCGCCCGCACGCGCTCCTCCAGTCCGGGTCCTGTTAGCAGCAGCTCCCGCCGCCTCTCCCGCTCCGCCAGCTCCAGCTCGGGCCAGGCCTCAGACACCGCAGCCGCCATTGCACCACCACTGTCCGCAGAAAACCCCTGGGTGTTTCCGGGTCAGTGTGACGTCACTTCCTGTCCACGCCGGAAGAAACCATGAAGAAAAGGCTCGAATGTTAGAGAGTCAGCAGCGTGTGCTGTAGAGAAGAGAAGAATGTTCTCCCAAATGGAGCCGGGGGCAGAGGCCTAAAAATTCCTCACCTGTCTGTCTTAGTTCGAGACAGGATGGCCAGAAAAATGCCTCCGAGGTCTCGAAACCCACACTGACCACTCGCACCAGGTCAGCCCACCAGGATGCCTTCTGGATCGAGTGTCAAACCTTCAGAGTAGTAGTTCTTACTTGGAATCACCTGCAGATTACAAACTACTGATGCCCGGGTCCCACGTCTAGAGATTCTGAGCTAATTGGTCTGGGCTGTGGCCTGGGCATCGGTATTAAAAAGAAAAAGTTTCCCTGAAGCAGCTTGGGGAAGAATTCGTTATCCTGTCTTATGATCCACTACCCCGGGGCGTTTGGAGTAGGAAATAAGGAGGACTTAATGCCCTGGCTGCTAGCTACTTCGTCTGCGCCTGTTTTCAACAATTCCTCATCCCAGCAGGGTTTTCAGCTGTGTTATTTTGAGATTGCTGAATTTTCATTGAAGTGTAATATGCATACAGAAAATGCACACATTGTAAGTGTACACTCACTGAATTTTGCACAAACTGAACAAATCCATGTAAGCAGAACCTACAACAAGTGACAGGTTATACCAGTCCCTCCAAGAGTTCTCCTGCCCCAAGGGAACAGATGTTTTGATTTTAACAGCACAGGATAGTTTGCCTGTTTTTAGTGTACAATATGTGCTCTTTGGCACCTAGTTTCTTTGGTTGAACATTGTGCCCCTGGGATTCATCCGTTTGAGGATGTGGTTAAACATCTTTTGTGTTACTGTTTAATATTATAAGGCAATTGTGAATGTATGGTATTTTCCCCTTGTTGTTGTTGTTGTTATGTGCCCTCGAGTCAGCCCTGACTCATAGCGACCCCTCCTTGGGTTTCCGAGGCTTTTTGTGCTGCCCTGAACCACCTCTCACCCACAACAAACCCAGAAAAGAAGGATTTTTGTCTTGGTTACTATTGTGGCTGATTCTATCTGTGAGGGGCAAGAATGACTGTCCCAGGCAATGTGAGACATGAGAGAAGGACTTTGAACCTCCTTCCAGCCTGTCCTTTTAGGGCCAGCTACAACTGCCCTCTCTGTCCTACTGAAGCCACACACACCACCAATTCAAAAGAATTTTCAGCCTCCCAGGGATTTCTTTAAAGAATACACACACTGTTGGTGACTTTTAATTCCCAGGAGTTATTTTCCTCCCTGCTGCCTTAGTTCTTCCTGTATAGATTTTTGTGCAAGGATCTAGTGGCTCATGGGATTATAGGACATTTTGACAAATTAGGAACTCTGGCAGCATAGTGGGTAAGACAGCTGGCTGCTAACCAGAAGGTCAGTGGTTCAAACCCACCAGCTGCTCCATGGGAAGACGATGAAGCAATCTACTTCCATAAAGATTTGTAGCCTTGGAAACCCAATGATGGTCTCTATGAATCAGAATTGACTCGATGGCAGTGAGTGACAATCTATAAGAATGGTAAAGGGGGTACAGTAGCCAACACTGGAGAAAACTCAAATGTGCCTCAACAGGAGAATGGATAAATTGTGAGACATTCTAGAAATTAATTGTTGTTATTGTTGTTTGCCATTGAGTAGGACCTGACTCATAGCGACCCCTCCTTGGGTATCCAAGGCAGTATCACTATGGAAGTAGATCGACCCATCTTCCTTCTGAGGAGTGGCTGGTGGGTTTGAACCGCCAGCCTTCTGGTTAGCAGTCAAGTGCATTAGCCACTATGCTACCAGAGCTCCCAGAAATTAATTAGCACATTGAAGATGAATGCTAAGCTACACCTAACAATATAAATGATGATCAACATTTTGTAGAGGGAAAAAGATCACAGAAGAATGCAAATAGTATGATCCCACCTATATAGCTTAAAAAAAAAGTAACACTCGAGAATATATTATTTAGAGTGCATATATATGTGGTTAATCTATGAGGAAAACCAAATGTTGATACGTTATTTCCATAAAGCAAAGTTTTTCATTCCATGTGCATGGAATCATCATGAGACAGGCAACAGCTCAATGGCAGCAACAACACGGAGCAGGAGGGAACATACAGGAACTACTAAAGGGCTGATCAGATCTTGTTTCATAAGGTGAGCTGAAGGTACTTGGCCACTTGTTTTATGCTTTTTCTTTATAGCTTATTCATGTTGTTGTTGTTAAGTGCTACCGAGCTGGTCTGACTCTGTGACCCTATGTACAACAGAACAAAATACTACCTGGTCCTGCACCCTCACAATCATTGCTGTATTTGAGTACATTGTTGCAGCCACTGTGTCAATCCATCTCCTTGAGGATCTTCCTCTTTCTTGCAAACCTTCTACCTTACCAACCATGATGGCTTTCTCCAGGGACAGGTCCCTCCTGATAATATGTCCAAAGTACATGAGACAAAGTTTCATCATCCTTACATCTAAGGGGCATTCAGTCTGTACTTCTTCCAATACCTGTTCATTCTTCTGGCAGTCCATGGTACATTCAATATTCTTCACTAACACCATGATTCATAGGCATCTGTTCCTCTTTGGTCTTCCTCATTCATCACCTAGCATTTGCATGCATGTGAGGTGACTAAAAAGACCATGGCTTGAGTCAGGCACACCTTGGTCCTTAAAGTGACATATTTCCTTTTGAAAAGAGATCTTTTGCAGCAGATTTACCTAATGCAATACCTTATTTGATTTCTATAAATTCTTTGGATGTATTTATTAGTTGATAAAAAGCAACAAAAATTCCATCACCCTTGCAAGTGACCATCTACTTGCAACAATGGGTCTCTCCCTGTCCAAAGCAAAGAAGACTGAAGAAAACCAAAGACACATGGAAACAATTAGTCCAGGGACTAGAAGACCATGTGATCCTTAGCCTATATGACCATGAGCCCAGAAGAACTAGATGGTGCCCAGCTACTACTGTTGAGCATTTGTAGAGGGGTCAGTGCAGGAGATCCTTGATAGAGTGAGAAAATAAAGTGGAACAAAAGTCAAAATCATAAAAAACAAAAAAGACTAGGTTTACTGGTCTGATAGAGCCTGGTGAGACTCCAGAGACTATGGCTTCTAGCTACCATTCAGGTCTGGAACTGAACTCACTCCTGTGGCTTCCAGCCAAACAATAGACAGACATATAGCATGAATATTTACAT